TGACTGACTGGTTTTTTGACTGACGGTTGGAAAAGGCACTTGCGACATTTGCTGCTGCTACTGACACTAGTTCAATCGTACTTAAACATTCTTCTCCCCGGCCCCAGGTCATGTCTCGATTTTCGTCCCTTTGGACGAAAAGATTGGAACGTGGTCCTGTGATTCCTTTTTTCTCTTTCTCTCTCTCTCCCCCTTCCGGCGGAAAGTGATTCTCTAACTTAATTCCTGTATGGATTTATTTTAAATAAATTAAAAAAAAAAAGAAAAACAGAAAGGAAAAAAAAGGAACATAAAAATCAAAAGGAACCCTCTCCACTCTTGTTACTTTTTACCTCTGTTGGGTCACGTTCTGGATTTCCTTTTCCTACTACACACCTCTTCCTCCACCTTTCTCTTGTTCTAACTCTTACTTACTCCTTACTCCTACCCTCGCCATCTTTGTCCTATTACCTATAATCCTCTTTATCTACCAAGAACGTCGCATTGATTATCCTACTCTGATTATCGCTATACTACTCCTCGCCGTTTCTCTACAATTCCTCTTCCACCATTGATACGACAAAAAGGCTGGCCTACTCACGGATGATCTGGTTCAACTGAATTCACGCTTTGCATAATGACTAACACTGCTGTATCAACAACTTCTCCCACCCCTCAATCCACCGTGGAAACCGAGGCCAAATCCAAGAGGAAAGCCTCCACTGCCGGTCTGCCCGCCAATGCCCGCCCTGTAAAACGGAGGGCGTCCAAGGCGTGCTGCTGCTGTCGGGCTCGCAAAGTGCGGTGTGATGTGGTCGAAAATGGTTCGCCCTGCACGAATTGCCGCTTGGACCAAGTAGAGTGCATTGTCACTGAGAGCAAGAGGAGAAAGTTCGTCTACGTCGAATACATGTCTTCCGTTTTCCCTCCACAGAAGTGCCGGCTAACCTCGAGCGCGCCTTGTTGCCACTGTTCAGGAAATCACGTGTTGAGGTCGATAATGCAAACCCTCATCAGCTGTCTCAATCCCCTGCAGAAATCCCCGATGACGGGGCTAGTCTGTTCAGGCGACTTAGCGAGTGTCATGGCCTTTCCGATATGGCCCCGGCTTCTCCCTCGCAGCGCTCTGTAGATCTGGATCAGGGGCAGCATATGCCACATCTTTTATGTTCGTATCCCACCTCGATTAGTCTCGGAGATCGTGGCAAATGACCCATCTCCACTGCATCATCTTCGATAAGATGCTAATGCTTACTTGTACAGATCAAAGCCAAGCGAACAGAATTGGCTCCGGGGATCGCTATCGAAGAAGAATGGCCCCGAATCCCGCTGTCCCAGCGACGCTTCCTTTGCACCATGTGACTTCGCAGATTCAACAGCTGCTGGACCCTTCCTTTGCCAATACCAGGTCTGGCGGTGTTGTCCTACCAGACTACATCCGCGGATTGCCGCCACGTCTGCAAAAAGAGGACATCGACTATTTGTCCATGAAAGGAGCTTTAACTGTCCCCGACGTGGGACTACGCAATGAATTGCTGAAAAGCTACATCCACTACGTCCACACCTATATGCCCCTCCTTGACCTAGAAGACTTCCTGCAGACGATCGTTCAAAACGATGGCATCCGCCGTATGAGCCTATTGTTATTCCAAGCCGTGATGTTCGCCGGCACAGCTTTTATTGACTTGAAGCATCTTCACGCTGCCGGCTACCCCACCAGAAAGGCAGCTCGTAAAGCTTTCTTTCAGCGCGCACGACTTCTCTATGACTTCGACTACGAAGTTGACCGAATCTCTCTCGTCCAATCATTACTGCTAATGACCTACTGGTATGAGACGCCTGATGACCAGAAGGATACCTGGCATTGGATGGGTGTGAGCTTGTCCCTCGCACATACCATTGGCCTGCATCGTGACCCCGGCAACTCCCGTATGGATGTCCGGCGCCAGCGGATGTGGAAACGGATTTGGTGGAGCACATATACGCGTGATCGTCTGATCGCCTTGGGAATGAGACGTCCCATGCGCGTGAAGGACGATGACTGTGATGTTCCGATGTTGACTCTTGACGATTTCGAGTTTCATCCCTTCTCGCCGGAAATTGTGAGCATGGTAGGCAACTCGGAGATTCTTCAGAGCGTGAGCCATCAGAGAGAGCTGGCTTTGATGTTCATTGAGAAGGCCAAACTTTGCCTCTGCGTGAGCCATGTTCTGTCGGCTCAATATTCGGTTCTAAGCCACAAATTTGGTGGAACGATGGAAACCACCATGATGTTGGTACCCAAGAAATCAGCAGCGGAGACCTTCGAGGTTCGTCGTTGTGATCAGGAGCTGGAAGACTGGCTGGCCCACCTTCCGACAGAGATACGCTACGCCCCCGCAGCGCCCTCCAAATTAAATGAGGCGCAGGAAGTTCTTCACTCTCATCGTGCACTCCTGAAGATGGTTTATTTGACCACATCCAGCGCTCTCCATCGCCCTCAGGTCCTACCTGCGATCCCGTTCCCTTCGATGGACGCCGAACTACAGGAGATTTCCAGGAATAAGGTGCGGTTTGCTGCGATCGAAATAACAAATATTGCCCAGGATCTACACAGCCTAGACCTGACCCGCTATTTCCCTACAACTGGCGTTACGGTCCTACTTCCCGCTGTGATTATTCATCTCCTCGACATCAAGTCTAGTGACCACAACGTTCGGATGACTAGCCTTCACCGGTTCTACCAGTGCATGCGCATATTACAACGTCTGAGAGAAATCTATGCATCGGCAGACTTCGCTACGTCGTTTTTGGAGGCTGCCATTCGCAAGGCCGGTATTCAGCTTACAGTAGCGCCGCAAGATGTACAGGCACGGACGAACAGCATAGTTGACACCTCAGCACGCGTCAACACTTTGACCCCACCCCCCGACTCTCTCGCGCAGAAGATCCCTGACTTGACGTATCCGAAATCCGATGGCGCAAGACGTGCCAGCCAGCTTCCCAAGGAAAGCGGTCCTGAGTTCGCATCAACGCCCCCACCCTCCGACGGTAGCGAGAATGGGAGCACCAGCAACATCAACCCCAGTTATCACCAGGATGCCTTCACCATCCCCAACTTCGATTCGGAGCTGAGCATCAGTGAGCTCATGGATCTGGCGAATGATGCGGAAGTAACCCAGAACGACTTCGATGCCTTGATCAACTTTGACGATGCCGGTGCGGACTTCCTTGCCCCCGATGATGGCTTGAATACCGGGAATGGTAATGGGAAGAACTATGGCTTCGGCTTGGGTACCATGAACAATCTTTCCGACATCATGGGTTTCGATACTGAGAAACAAGGCGTTGGTCTGGCCGGCTTGGGAGACGGACAGCTTGCCGACGATCGCGCTGCGGCATCACGCAACGATATGAACACTTTCGCAGCCGACCTCGATGCGGAACTCGGCCTGAGTCTTTAAGCGGCTTGGAAACACTGTTGCGACGTTGTTTCATATTTGTGCCATGATTTAGAACTCATTTGCTTTGTGCACTGCTCTTGGCGATCTTGTTTGGCCGTTTGTTGAAATAGGCCCGTTTTACAACATATGTGTGCATCAAAGGGAGATGGGCGCTTGGCGTTGGCGGGCTTTTATGTACCGGGTTCGAAATCCTGCGAACCTTGGATCGGTTGATGCTTATTTCTTATGTACTTCATGTGCCTGATTTGTCCCCTTGCACGGGGCGATTGTTCCCATTATATGTACATACAGAGTCGAAAAGTACGACATGAGAAAATGAATGACCTAACGCATGCTACTCGGATTATAGTAAACTTAGCTTCGTCGGAGAGATGTAGTAGTGTATGTATGCTGCTTGAACTCTGTTTGGCTGGCAACCGGCCAATTGTCAATAAGGGAGCAGGTAGATCGATGAACCGAAAAGGATCTCGACTTCTTGTAGACCACCCTTGCCGGGCATTCTTCAGGTATGTCTGTGCTGCTGCTCGATCACCCTTGCAGTGAACTCCACCCATTGACCGCTTGGGAGGGATCTCGTTGTTACCGTCAATTCTGTGTGGCAGTTGTTGAGTCGATACGGTCGGTTCATGTTTCTCTTCCATACAGTGTGAAAGCTGACAGCATTTGGAGAGGATTATCAGCTAGGATGAAAGAAAAGACACTTGCACATGGGATCAAACAAGGGTGACGCTTCTCAGGGTGCTGTTGATAGGACGTTGTGGTACAAGCCGCCCTCATAGTACCTTCAAAATTTGCTCAGTTGCAGCATCTTGAACGGACCCTATAATACCAAGTATCCAGTCTGTGTTAGTCTGCTGTCCCAAGTGGAGACTCAAGATGTGCTCATGTGAAGTTGGTAGGGTGGTCTAGAGAGGAGGTCCCGTGCATACCAGTCCCGATCAGGCAGGTGGTTTGGCTCACCTCAGGCACTTCCCGTCTGTCTGTCTGTCTGTCTCTCCCTCCATCATCCATTCATTTACTACTTACTCTCTTCCATCTTCTTTTCTCTTGGCCTCTTCCCCCGCACCGGGCACTTGATTCAACCGGTTCAATCCCGGTCCCTGCATCATCTTACTCACAGCCACAGCGTCTGCCATTGTGTAACCAACAAATAGCTCTCCACTATCACCCAATACCTGTCCCGCCAAGGAAATTGGGCCCCCGATACCACATTGACTGAGTCACAATCCCGTCTTAATGGCCTTTTATTCCGGGCACGGATTCGATCAGTCAACTGTTACAGTGCCAATTCAAACTAGGTCCTGTGAGGCACGGAATCCAAACCAAGACACTAAGTACCAAGGTACAGCACTAGCGAGACAGCGTGTTATCACTATTATTGGCGAATTGACCACGGGATTTCTCATGCAGGGTTCGGCTGCTCCATCCACCCCTCCTCTTCCTACCCAGTCATTCCTTTCCGCCTCGGTTATTGGAGGAGATGCTGAGCTGCTTAACTGACGCCTCACCGATCAGGCCGGAAACGGCGGCGGGATACAATCTCGTTTCCACACAATAGTGTTTGTCTTCTGCAGGCTGCACGGCATTGCTAATCGCCGCCAGCATGTATCTTCTATCCACTGGATATGACTTTCTCTCCCCTCACACCAAGTGGGCCTGCGACTTTTCTCTCAAACTTTGTCTCTCATGCAACGATGTAGTATATAAAGCCCTGGCTGGGGATGGCATCCCCCACCCATCGGTCTTTTGCTGACCCTTCTTCTTGAAGGACTTCTCTAGTGGCCTGTGGTGCATGTATAGAATCAATCTTCGAAAATATTTAACTAGGTATAGCTGGGACTGAGTCTGTCCTTGCATTCAACAACACCATGCGCGGCTCTCAGTTGGTGCTCTTATTGGCCCTGGCTGCACTCAGTTGTGCTACGCCCGAGAATAAATGGTCCTCCACGATGAGAAGGCAGTTGCCAAAAGCACCCACTGGCGTCAAATCGATAAAAACTCCGAACAATGTCACCATCAGGTATAAAGAACCAGGAACCGAAGGCGTTTGTGAAACGACGCCTGGAGTCAAATCATACTCCGGATATGTCGATCTTTCGCCAGAATCACATACCTTTTTTTGGTTTTTTGAGTCACGTCGTGATCCCGAGAATGATCCAGTGACTTTGTGGCTGAATGGTGGTCCTGGAAGCGATTCGTTGATTGGGCTTTTCGAAGGTTGGCCAAATATCGAGGCGGAAAGGACAAAAAGCTTGAATATTCTGACGGTTTCACAACAGAGTTGGGCCCGTGTCACATCACCCCAGAGTACGAATCAATCATCAACCAGTACTCCTGGAACGAAGTCACCAATCTCCTTTTCTTGTCCCAGCCCCTCGGCGTAGGTATGAAATCCTGCTGCCTTGATACATCCTGAGTACAGTGCTTACGATCTTATCTGCGAAGGGTTCTCTTACAGTGAAACCGAGGCCGGGTCCTTGAACCCAATTACTGGAGTCACCGAGAACGCCTCGTTTGCTGGAGTCCAGGGTCGATACCCAGTTATTGATGCCACAATCATCGGTTAGTTGTCTGGTATGACTCTCAGTTAGCATTCTCCTCATGTTCCTACTTCACAGACACGACCGATATCGCTGCACGCGCAACCTGGGAGGTACTTCAAGGCTTCCTCGGTGGCCTGTCACAGCTGGATTCTGAAGTCAAGTCCAAGGAGTTCAATCTCTGGACGGAGAGCTACGGAGGGTGAGTGCAGCTTTCAGATCAGATTGACGTATGCTGACTTGATCAAGACACTATGGACCAGCTGTAGGTTTTCTTCTCTGGATGCACATATATGAAGCTGATGACCAAAGTTCTTCAATCATTTCTACGAGCAAAATTCGAAGATTGCTAACGGGGAAGTGAGTGGAGTCCAACTCAATTTCAACTCTCTCGGGATTATCAATGGTATCATTGATGCCGCCATTCAGGTGTGTAGAAATGCAGCTCGCGCAGAGGCTTTGACGTCAGAAACATTGCTAAAACATTGAATAGGCAAACTACTACCCGGAATTTGCTGTCAACAATACATATGGAATCAAAGCTGTAAGTTTGTTATCCGCACCTCGTGGATTTTATATCAATCTTGCTCATACTTGCTAGCTCAATGACACAGTGTACAACTATATGAAGTTCGCCAACACGATGCCCAATGGATGCCAGGATCAGGTTTCTTTGTGTAAACTGACCAATAGAACCTCGCTAGCTGATTATGCTATATGTACAGAAGCAGCCAACATGTGCAGGGACAATGTTGGTGAGTGGTTTTTTTGCAATTCCCCTGCAGGGATGTATTGATGAAGAGCTTCGCTAAGCTGTTGTACAGAAGGGCCTTATTACCAGTTTGGCGGCCGTGGCGTGTATGATATTCGCCACCCTTACAATGTAAGTGACAAGGATAAGGGTTGCACTTTCCGAACAGGGACACAGCTAATATGTCTACGTAGGACCCGACCCCACCGTCCTACTTCGTTGACTACCTCAATAAAGACTCAGTCATGGATGCTATTGGCGTGGACATCAACTACACCGAGTCCAGCAGCGACGTATATTACGCATTCCAGCAGACCGGCGACTTTGTATGGCCGAATTTCATCGAGGACCTCGAAGAGATCCTCCGACTCCCCGTACGCGTGTCTTTGATCTACGGCGATGCTGACTATATCTGTAACTGGTTCGGTGGGCAGGCCATCTCACTCGCAGTGAACTACACCCATGCATCTCAGTTCCGTGCAGCGGGTTACACACCCATGACAGTAGATGGGGTTGAATACGGGGAGACGCGCGAGTATGGCAACTTTTCTTTCACCCGCGTATATCAAGCCGGGCATGAGGTCCCATACTATCAACCGATTGCAGCGTTGCAGCTGTTCAACCGTACTTTATTTGGATGGGATATTGCAGCGGGTACAACTCAGATTTGGCCCGACTATACCACCAACGGTACTGCGCAGGCTACACACACGCAGTCGTTCGTACCACTGTCCACAGCCTCAAGTACCATCGTCGACTAGGATTGCGGGGAAATATCCTTCTTTGGCATGGCTAATGTTGTGTTATTTGTTCCGATACTTGTCCTTAACCTAAAAGAGTGGCACGCAAGCTTTCTTAGTCATGTTTGCCTTCAAGATGATTTAGCCTACCACGACGTCGTGCTACAACTTATCAGGTTTTCTTACAACACTTTGCAGCGACCATAAAGAGTCATGTCATATTAAGTCCATTACGGTAATTCGTAACTTGCTGTGGCTAACGTAATTGTGCCTCAGCTAGATGTCGTGATACGCTCCAAAACCCAATCTGATCATGGATATCCAGCGAAATAACAGAAAGGAAAATAAAACATAACCAACCACCAAAAAGATAGAGGCTAATGCCTGGCCATCATGGAACTCCAGCAACCTCCTTCCGCTGAAATGGAATGCGTGTATATATTAGAAAGCTTAGTAATCATTTCACGATAGCCAACTCCGGCTCCTGCTTCTTCTCGGAAGGATGTTCTTCCAGCGGAACACCCACTTCTTGAGCGGTCTCATCCGAAAAGTTGAGGTCCGCTTCGACGTCGGTATGCTCCTTGATCTTCAAGAACACTACGGGCGACGCGATGACAAGACTGCCGGCGAGCAGGCCCCAGCAGGAGGCGAATTCCGTCATGTAAGGGGTTCCCACGGCATCCATACTGCAGCAAAGTATATTCATTAGCTTCTACGCCTAAATTCGTGAGCGAGGGGGCTTCTAGGACTCACCGCCACATGCCAGCTGCACCAGCAGACTGAATGCCTTTGTAGAAGCCGGCGAAGTTGGCCAACTTTCGAGCGTTGTTAGTCAGTGAACCCATGAACCTACACAACCCGTATCAGTCAGTAAAATGCATACAATAAGCGCAGCCGCCAAAGATAAGAGACAACAGCGGCACTAACCAATATGCACAGGTCTGGAAGGCAGCGTCATAGAAACCATAAAACATGTACAAGAACATGGGTCCAACATAGCCGCTGGTCGTCCAGTCGGTATCTGCCTCGACATCCTTCCGGGTGTATGTCTTCTGGAAGGCATAACCACCGCCCCAAACGCCCATTGTGAGGGCAAAAAGGAGTCCAAGACCAAGCTTGGCTCGGACTGGGCGGGTAAGGAACTTCAAGTCGAGGATCTGGCCGAATACAAATGCGCCAATCATTTGCATAAGCCAGTAGAGGAGATTGTTGAGGGCCCGCGTCCGGATGGTGAAAAAAGCACCATTGACACTGTTGAATTGATAGGCAGTAAACCAGTTGCTCCCCAAGAACATGGGAAAGAACAGGATGATGTAGTAGTCGGTCCGAATGGTGTCGTAGAGACCTTTCAATTCGGACTTCCACGTGGGGTTCTTCATCACAATGACATGCGAGCCATCCTTGCGCTTAACATACTTCGAGTCTAAGAGGGCCCAGGCAAGGACAAAGCCAAGCGCCATGAGCACCATGAAGGCGATGTAGGTGCCATCATTCACCTGACCAGCTTCAGAGTGCAGGTTTTGACCCAAAGGTACCTGTATACTAGGGTCAGAAAAGTACTACCATTTGGAGTAAACCACCAAAGGACTCACCAAGCTGCCAATCACACCACCCAGGTTGAAAATCACCCAGAAAATAGCAATGAATTTACCCTTCTCCTTTTCGTTCGGGTAACTCATCATGACCGCACCCTGCGCACACCACAGCAGACCACCACAGACACCTAGTAGCGCGCCCGCAAAGATCAGGAAGCCGGAGTTCTTGTTATGGTTGTACGACAGAAGGGAAGCCACATAGAGGAAGTAGCCAAAGCCACCAAGAGAGAGAGTCAGGCGGAGACCAATGCGGTTTGCGATGGACCCGGCGAAGAAACCAACTACTGCGAAAGTGCTGTACAGAGCGGTGTTGGAATCGCTGACATCGGTAGGGTCCACCTGACCACCTCCGCCCAAACCGCTGACTGCATTGAACATGCCCGGGCAGAGGAAACACACGAAGGAGACCAGCAGAAGCTGGGATTGTGGGGAGGCAAAGTACGGCAACGACCAGGGACCGATCTTGATTGGCTTGTACATCCAGGGTTTCCCAGTGAGCTGGGTTTCCTGACCGGCCTCTGGATCTGAAGTGACCGCGGGGACTTCCTTCTCATGATGGAGGTCTTCCTGTCCCGTTGTAGTGGAAGCCATTGTCGTTGATGGACAGCTTCAATGCTGTATGGAGATGCCCCAAGACCAATGGCAGATGGGGTGAATTGATTTGCGGCTTTTCGGCAGGTCAGCAGGCGTACTCAAAATGCGCAGGTATGTGCATATGTAGACGGGATCAATGGCATGTATGTGCAGGTATAGACAGTGACAGTGTAGAAAGGTGCGTACAGGGAAACAGACGGGACGAATGGTGGCTGAGGGAAAGATGGAAGAGACACCTAATAACGCAAACAAGAAAAAAAGGGGGGGGAAGAGGAAGAGAAGTAGAAGAAATATAAGTAGATACAATGGAGGAAAGCAAATGGGATGAAGGGTATCACTGTGAGAAGAAAGGACGGAACTACCCCGGGGGAAATGAGAAGGATGATGGAGGAGCCAGCGATCCAAAATATGTTGAAATCTGGTAGCACGCACTGGGGCGGACCCAGAGAACTAAATTTAAAAGGGTTGGTTGGACTTATGGCAGTGAAGGAGGAAGAAAAAAAGAAAAAGGCAGGATCAGGCAAGGATGTCTTAGATGATCCGGGGTAAGAATGAAGGGGTGGGCACAGAACCCAGTAAAGGGAAAACAGTGACTGGTCACGGGCGCAGGCAGAAAAAAAAAAAGCGTGAAACCCTTGGCCCAAGCTGCAGCTGTGGTAATGGTAAATTGGGTGGAAAGAAAAATTAAGGTCGATGGGGGCTCTGGCTTATTTTTATCTCCGGGGGCTCGGATCTGAATCGTAACATCCAGCTGATGGGGAATCTCACCAGTCTAAGCCACGAGGAGAGTGCGCCGATGGTGAGGGATCAACTTGGGCAAGGATACCACGGTGGGAATAGGGAGGATGAGACAACGGTGATAACAGCCATCATCGGGGAGGAGGAAGACACACGACACCCAAGAGATAGGCAGAAATAAGGGTGTTAGGTAGCTCCACGATACGAAGAACATCCAGATAGACAAGCAGGCGATTCAACGCCAGTGTTGCAACGCACAAAACCCAATAGAGAATGGGAAAAGTCAATGGGATGACAAGACAAGAAAAGCCGTCGTACCTTATCTCTGGGTCCTCGAGCCGGTGGGCACAGAAGACGCACTAGAAGAACTAGCTTACTCGTTTAGTGAGTGACGGCGTGGTCAGACGGCGAGATAGTCAAGCACCACAACGAATCATCGGTCTCCGACTGACTCTAGCGGGAACCCGATCAGTCGCAGGATGGAGAAAAAGAACAATCGACACGATCCACTCGACCCCAAGCGACCCAAAAGTCAAACCGAGATAGAAAACTAAGGGGGGAAAAGATGAGTAAGAGAAATAGAAAATGCGGAGATGCAACTCAAAAAATTAAGGGCGGAGGTAACAGAAAGATATTGACCCAATCAATGGCCAAGGGAATAACAATGAAAAGAGACACTGGATGTTTTGAATGTCAAGTAGTAGCCGATCGAAGATCCGACAAGGAAATTAATCAGACTAGCAATGCACCTCCGATGCAAGTTTGCCAAATGACAACCACGAGGGCAATGGTCGAGACCCCAAGACCAGTCGCGTGTTATCACGGGAGGGGAGGCTTATCTCCAGGGGTTGGGGTTGGAGATATAGTAGTAGTAGTAGTAGTAGTAGTAGTAGTAGTATAGTAAGATGTGAATGGAGCAAAGCAATCGCAGTGATAGCACAGAACAAGCTAGGGAGAAGAGAAACTGTTGTGCAGGGGAAAAAAAAAAGAAAGAAAGAAGAATTGAAAGGACGGACGGACCTTTCTCACTGATAATCCATCGACTGGATGTCAGTTGGATAGGATCGATAATCCGGTTTAACTCATCCGTCATCGGATCCATAGTTAATAGGGTTGGTGGTGAAAAACGAAAGAGAGATACGGAGAGCGCGCGGGCAAGGCCGATGGAGCAGACGAGTTGCTGCAACCAAACAAACCCAGAGTCAGCGGAGTCAGCCTCAAGGTGGTTAATCTGGCCATGGAGCCATCCTGATTCACCCGGGCGGAGCTGCAAAGGCAACGGTGACATCGCTCCTTCGAAGCTTAGCCGAATGCGGGGAGACGATTCGGCTCATTTGCTGGTACGGTCGTCGTGAGGTAGCATCCAAGAACCCAAATCCCTCCTCTTTTTGACCCTCTTTTTTCTCTCCCGCTCCGCTAAACCTGCGCTGGTGGCTTTCGCTACCGATGAGGGTTTTCTTGGGTCTTCCCCGCCCAGTGGAGTCGGACCGGACCCAGTAACCGAACCCAGTGACCCATTGGATAAGAAGAAGCACAGTGAAAAGAAGGAGGAAGGAAAAAAAAACAAATCAACCACAAGGAGCGGGATGTGAAATGGGTAATAATGAAAGTATACCCAGGGAGATAGACAAGAAAGAGAGAGGTGGAAGTGAAAGAATTCTAGGGAATGGGGAGAGAGAGAGAGAGAGAGTAAATAGGAGTGTTTACTAGAAGAAAGAGAAGCTTGAAAGGTCCGAGAATGGAAATGGAATTGGGAAGGAATGAATGAATGCATGCAGACAAACAGCAACACTTTTCCTTCCTGTTTGGGGTCTGCTATTCAAAGTGTCCGAAAAAAGCAAGTACCCTGAGTCACGTGGATATGTATCAATTCAGACGTTGTTTAGTATCTCTGCCGTATTGCCGTATTGTTTGTACGGTTTGTATGGTTTCACTATCCACTCTGTAAGATACGGGGGGTTGTTCGTGTCGGTATTGATTATGACGAGACAGACGAGATAGGGAGCTCAATACTATGCAACATGACCTCACCACATACATACTCCAGTAATTTTGCCTATCAAATTGTGTAGTTTCTCCAAATCAATTCGCTTCGTTTGGACTGCCTCCTCGTCTAGATAGACTAGTTCATCAAGTCTATAGTCACTTGCTCCATCGGCTATCTCCCTTAAAGAGCCAATCCGGAGTAACTCCTTACTGCCAACCATGGACGGAACCCGGGGAAAAATGTCACCTCGTCGTCCCCTCTGATCCATATTCATCTCTCTCTCTCTCTACACATCGACGTCACATTCCGGCCCCATCACGCTCCCCAAACCATGGGAATGGCAACGTCAATTACCCCAAGCCGTTTTTCCCGAGGCCAACCGCACAATCATCATGGCGATCGAGCTTGTTGTCCACGTTGCCTGCCCCTGCCTTTGCCCCATCCAAGTTCCTGGTTCAATGTCACCATGTACTCTGTAGTATTCCCTCCACGTCTTCTCATTCATTCATAATGTCCTACCAATTTCCCTCCTACCCCGCAACAATTTCCTCTTCCTCTCGTCCCGTCTCATCCCCTATCTCCTCTTAGTAGTTCGGACAGCCCATCCCTCCGTCCCATCCGTCAGTCTATTCTCCCCTCCCCCTCACATTATCGACTGACTCCCCCCAAGTCTGGTTGTGAGCGCGGCGCGGCTCGAAGTATACCCAACATGCCTGGCAAAACATCCACCTCCCTTCCCCGCATCACCAAATTCACCAACTGCCGTATCGTCAAGGGACTTGATCTCGTCGAGCAAGACGTATGGATTGATTCAATCTCTGGGAAGATTCTCAAGGATCAGGAAGCCTTCTATGGATTACATCTCTCCCCCGATAAGGTCATCGACCTAGGCGGCCGCATCTTGGCTCCCGGCCTTATCGATGTACAGTTGAATGGTGCTCAGGGCTTCGACTTCTCCGTTCCCCAGGCCTCCAAAGAACTATACGATGAAGGTCTGCGGGCCGTTAACAAAGGTCTTGCCAGGACGGGAGTGACTTCATATCTCCCGACGGTAGTCAGTTCTACTCCCGAAGTCTACTGGCAGGTATGTCTCAATTACCCCCACACCTCCGGAATACCAGTAAACCGTAAATAAGCGGCAAAAGAGGCTCATTCTTGAACACAGGTACTTCCATCGCTAGGGGCATCTGGAGAGAGCCATCGCGCCGAAGATGGCGCGGAGTCGCTAGGCGCTCATGTCGAAGGTCCATTCATCAGCCCTGGTCGTAATGGCGTGCATAAGACAGAAGTTCTTCGTGCAGCAACATGCTTCGAGGATGTCATCGCTTGCTATGGCAAAGACAACCTCACCGGCCCATTTAAATCAGTGCGCATGATCACAGCGGCTCCTGAGGTTGGAGACATGCTGCCGAACATTCCCTCCCTCACAGCAGAGGACATCATCTACTCCATTGGCCACTCGGACGCAACGTACGAGCAAGCCCTCACCGCCACCCAGCAAGGCGCCACCATGATCACGCATCTTTTCAACGCAATGCGGCCCTTTTATCACCGGAACCCCGGTATCTTCGGCCTCCTAGGGCAGAATGAATGCCCGCGACCATTCTACGGCGTCATCACCGACGGCATTCACCTGCATCCCACCTCAATTCGCATTGCCTACAACGCCCACCCCGAAGGCCTCATCCTCGTCACTGACGCCATGAAGCTATGCGGTCTCCCCGACGGTATCTACGACTGGACCAATGGCGAGCGCATCATCAAGAACGGCGCCCGGCTGACCCTCGAAGGCTCGGACAAAATCGCCGGCAGCTCAGCCACCCTCATTGAGTGCGTCAACAATTTCCGTCGCTGGTCAGGCGCCTCCACGGCCGAGGCGCTCAACGCGGCTTCCGCCACCCCCGCACGCCTTCTGGGTTTACAGGGCGTCAAGGGGTCCCTGGAGAGTGGCGCGGATGCGGACTTGCTTGTGCTGGATGATGAGGAGGACCCCTTCTCGGGCCCCACCTTGACTGTGAGACAAGTCTGGAAGCGCGGAGTCAAGATCTATGATACCGGCAAATAAGATGCAGTGCCTTTTGACTTGCGCACATGCTGTCTGAACGAGTTATGCGCTGCAGAAATCGTTTGGTTATTACTCATTCATGCGTTACGCTCGAATTTTGATCTCTCTAGCAGGCTTGGGAGTTTTGGTTTGGATTATGCTGCTCGTTCCTTCTTGGCTCGCGTCGGTTTAGAGACTTGCATGGAGTGGGCTCTCGTGGGCTCTGTTCATTACCTTTCTTTTTGTACTTGGGTCATTTCAACAACCGGGATAAAGTAGACCTCCCACATGGATAGTAAATAGAATGTCAATGATAGATACAGGCCACTTCGGTTCATTTATGAGGATCTATTTTGTTTCTACATTGGTGTACTAGGCATATTTGAAATAAACTCTATTTCTATTCATTTCGATATGTCTGGTGCTTCCTGCGCAACATGCCAGCGCTATATAATACAAGCAGATCGTGACTTGGGACGAATGACAACCCAGATCACACTGTACATAGGATAATGGTACTGCAACAGCAACCGAAACATCCAAAAAGACAAGCCAGGATTTCAAACAAAGGACAGATAACTGTATATCCATGAACCTTCCCCTGATCTGGCGATTCTTCTTCGCTTTAAAATCATCAATCATAAATCATGTAAGGCAAGCCGACTCCATCGCATATGCATGCATCTGTCGATCGAAGCTAACGCCCTCACTTGGAGACTACACATGCAAAGAAAAAATCTCAATCGCTTGGGTCATGCATGCGCCGTTCCATAATCAACTCTTTGCACTTTATTTTTATTTTCCTTTTGATTTTGTGGTTTGTGTGAAATGGCCACGCGCTTACAGACGAGGCTGCTCACGCTTCCATCCAGCCTCTTCGGCGATGAGCTCCGCAGCACGCTCACCAATGGCCAACACAGTCAACATGGGGTTGATAGTGGGCATCTCAGGGAAGACACCAGCATCGGCGATACGAACGTTCTTCAGGCCACGGACCTTCAGCTTGGGGTCGACGACGGCCATGGGGTCGCGAGTCAAGTTACCCATCTTGGTAGTACCAGCGGGGTGGTAGACGGTGTGGGCAACACGACGACCATACTCGGAGAGCTCCTCGTCGGTCTGCACGTTGGGGCCGGGGGCAACCTCACGCTTGATCCAATCCTTGAAGGGCGACTGTTTGGCAACCTCACGAGCCGCCTTGAGACCAGCCACGATGGTAGCGGCATCATAGCCCTCGGGGTCAGTGAAGTAACGGAAGTCCAGGGCCGGCTTGACGCTGGGGTCGGCCGAGGTCAGGTAGATACGACCGCGGGAGCGAGGACGAGGGATGTTGGGGGTCATGCAGAAGGCATCGACCGGAGTGTCGTAACCCAGACGCTCGGTGTTCAAGCAGAAGGGGATCTGGTAGCAGTGCATCATGATGTCGGCAGCACGGCCGTCGAAGCCATTGGCGTTGGGAAGCTCACGACGCAGGAAGATACCAGCGTCAGAATCCATGGTGGTCTGGTTGGGGGGAACGGGGCGGTTGAGCTCCCAGATGATGATACTCTCGGGGTGGTCGAGGAGGTTCTCACCCACACCGGGGATATCCTTCACGACGGGGATTCCCAGGCCAGACAGCTGCTCGCGAGGTCCCAGGCCAGACAGCATCATCAGGCGGGGGGTGTCAACGGCACCAGCGCACAGGATGGTCTCCTTCTTGGCGCGCAGGGTGTGCTTGGCGCCCGACTGCAGGGTCACATCAACACCGGTCACAGAGTCACCGTCAACATTGACGCGGGAAACCCAGGCATTGGTGAGGATAGTCAGGTTAGGACGCTTCTCCTCGCCACGAAGGATGGGGTGGATATAAGCGACACTGGCGCTGCTGCGACGACCGTCATCGGGGTTGTAAGAGACGGAGAAGAAACCGACACCCTCGGTCAGTTCACCCTTGGAGCGAATCTCCTTGTTGAAGTCTTCGATAACGGGGATGTTCATGGCGGATGAGCAAGCCTGAACCCAGTCCTTGCACAGCTGGTTGCGGTGACGGTTGTGGACGGGCTGAACGGTGTTGCGCAGGTTGTCCAGAACGCGAGTGAAGGTCTCGAAAGACCAGCCAGTGCAGCCGGCCTGCTCCCATCTCTTGCAGTCGTATTCGAAGGGACGGAAAGAGATCAGGGTGTTGTGGCTAGAGCAACCACCCAGAACCTTCGCGCGGGAGTGACGGATGTGGCTGTTACCTGTAGAGTAGAATAGGGCATGAGAAGGATGATCTGCGATTGATGGTTGTTCGGATGCAAGGAGAGGGGTTTCACAACATACCCATGGGCTGTTCAACGGTTGGGTAGTCGTAGTCCAACTCGCCGCCAAGCAGGTTGAGCCATTCCTTCAGCTTGAGCACGCGATCATCCATGAAGTCGCTGGGGCCACCCTCGATGATGAGGATGCGCTTGTTGGGCAGGTATTCAGCCAGACGACTGGCGATGACACAGCCAGCTGTGCCACCTCCGACGATGACATAGTCGTAGCTGTTGACATCGCTAGCGGGGAATTCGTTTGTGGTGGCCATTTTGAAAGATGAAGATAAGGGGATGTAAATGACTTTTATGCAGGGGAGGATCAGAAAAAGAGAGGAGATTACGGGAGAAGAGGGGAAGAAGGATAAGAGATAGGGATGAGGAGAAGAAGAGGGACGCGCGATGGAGAGAGGAAAAAGAAGTAGAGAAAAGAGGGAAAGAGAAGTTGGGAAAGATGAAATTGGAGATTTTAAATTTTGCAGGACAAGCAAGAGATGCGGTGGTTTCTGAGGCTGAACCGTCAGGCCATCCAATCCATCCATTCATCCATTCACTTCCCTATCTTTCTGGATTCCTTATGCTGCTTGGCCTCGTCTTGTTCCTTTCTCACTCGTTTTTCTCACCATTCTTTCCCTTTTCTGCCGGGTGGGTCTTCTTCTAAACCCATTCCGGAGAGAAACAGGACCCACACTTTTTACTCCACCGCATCTTTTTCTCAATCAATCTTGACTTCTGAGTGGTGGACCAGAGATTTAATGGGTCTATTTAGTCAAAGCCAAGACTCACGGCAAAGGCGGAACAAAGTTCTTAATCAAAAGTTTTTATCTTTGGTCCGTTTCGGGATGCGTAAGCGCTTTGGCATGCCAAAACTGTTACGTGATCTACTAATCCCCCGGATTGTTACTCAATCTTCCCCAAGATTTAGCCAGGTGTTCATCAGATGACCCGGTCTCGTACTACGTCTTAGTATCGAGTAGTATACATCTGGGTATGGGGGAATAAGAGGTTGGACTGCAGAATCAGCGGAACAGCGAGTCGCCACGGTGAAGTTCCGAAGTCTGCCCGTCGTGGATGGTAACCGGGCGGGCACTCCACACGAGATCCAAACACTAGGACACGCCACGATCCCGCCTACTAGTTGGGCGCTAACCAACGGTTATTTCCATCGGAGATGCAGGGCCGAAGCGAATCCCGGGATCGAATTGCCTGCTTTGGTGCAAAAGTTGGAACAAGTTGAGTGGAGGAAAGAAGCGATAGGGAGAGAGGGAGAGGCCTGTATGCAGATACCGCATTGAGCCATAGCTTACTGAGTACTCAACTTATATCACCTGCCAGTAAGTATCTAATAGATCTCCTACCTGGATTTTCATACAACAGAAACCCATCCCGGCGACCTACTGTGGAAGAGGTCCTCTTATCAATCCAAGAGATTCGCCAGACTTCTGTAGTTTAGACAAAGTAGTAAGTATTTATCTCCCCAAATCTACCAAGTAAAATCAAGAAGATAAAGCCGAGGTGGGAAAATAATGATAAATAAAAGTAAAAAGGAAAAAGAAAAGAAAAAGGATCGCCGCCTGCCGGTTTACATCATCGGACATTCCAGCAAATCATAGGGTTGGCGGTGTAGCCATGAAGTACTGTTTTCGGCTTAGGCGCTTCGCCGAGGTACCTGATCTGTACATTAATGCTTCTCTTACTTTCTAATACTTTTTGAAAACATCTCTTTTTTTTCCCCTCCCCTCACTTTTATCATATCTATCTCTATCCCCTCTGAACCTTTTTGACTCCCCGTTCTTTTCCACTCAGCGGTTCTACAGTCCACTTCATCGAATCTCTTTTCTCCTCTCTTCTCTATCATCTCTCGCACACCCTTCCAACCATGTCCCTCCCGTTCCCTACGCGCCAACTCTACTATGATGGCAAGGTCCAGCCCGCCACTTCCGGCAAGACTTTCCAAACCATCAACCCTTCCAACGCTACCCCACTGGCCGACATTCAAGTCGCCGCTCACGCCGATGTAGACTCGGCCATTGCCGCTGCCGACCGGGCATTCCCTTCCTGGTCTCAAACTCCTGCTATCGCTCGTGCCCGCATTCTCCAGAAAGCCGCTGCCCTTTTGCGTGAGCGCAATGATGAAATTGCTCGTGTTGAAACTCTCGATTCCGGAAAGGCTTACACGGAGACGAGCACCGTGGATGTGGTCACTGGTGCCGATGTCCTGGAGTACTATGCGAACTTGGTTGGTGGCGGTGGTCTGAATGGCGAGACCACCCAGTTAAGGGAAGATGCTTGGGTATACACAAAGAAGGCCCCGTTGGGTGTCTGCGCGGGTATCGGCGCATGGAATTACCCTATCCAAATGTAAGAACAACTTTCTTTCCTTCTGAATCTTGATAGGTTTCTCTCCCAATCAGGTTTTCGAGTGTTCAACGAGATTCTGACAAACCAAATACAGTGCGCTGTGGAAATCTGCTCCCTGCTTGGCTGCGGGAAACACCATGGTCTACAAGCCGAGTGAATTCACCCCGCTCCACGCTCAGACGTTGGCCCAGATCTACACGGAAGCTGGTCTTCCCGCAGGTGTTTTCAACGTTGTGTATGGTGCAGGCGACGTGGGCGCCTACCTGACTGCTCACCCCACGATTGCCAAGGTTTCTTTCACAGGCCAGGTGTCCACCGGAATGAAGGTCGCTGGTTCGGCTGCCGGCAACATGAAATACGTGACCATGGAGCTTGGAGGCAAGAGCCCCCTCATTGTTCTTCCTGACGCCGAATTGGATAATGCCGTGGATGGTGCGATGATGGCCAACTTTTATAGCACTGGCCAGGTCTGTACCAACGGCACTCGCGTTTTTGTTCCCTCGAGCATGAAGGCTGCTTTCGAAAAGCGCCTCCTGGAGAAGATGCAGTACATCCGCCCCGGACCTCTTTTTGATGAGGCCACCAACATGGGGCCCCTGAGCTCAGGCGTCCACATGGAGAAGGTGGCCTCCTACATCCGTCACGGAATCGAGACGGACAAGGCCACCCTTCTGTATGGTGGGTTGGGCAAGCCGCAAGTCCCCAAGGACTTGGAGAGCGGATACTGGGTCCGACCCACTGTCTTTACTGACTGCACGGATGACATGCGCATCGTCAAGGAGGAGATTTTTGGTCCTGTCATGTCTATTCTCTCCTACGAGACTGTCGAGGAGGCGGTGAAGCGGGCAAACACCACCGAGCTGGGCCTGGCTGCGGGTGTCTTCACCAAGGACCTTAACCTGGCCCACCGTGTCATCGATCAACTGCAGGCTGGTATCACCTGGATCAACAGCTGGGGCGAGAGTCCGGCCGAGATGGCTGTCGGAGGCTGGAAGAACAGCGGTGTGGGTGTTGAAAACGGTCGTCGCGGCATTGAGGCTTGGGTGAGGAACAAGAGCACCCTGGTGGACATGAACGGCTCCGTCGCCACCGTCTTTGCTAAACTGTAAATGAAGTATGTTTAATGACCCGTCTATATATATATGTCTGGATGTCTATAGGAAAAGATGAATAAGAAGTACATATATCTATCGAACAGAGCTGGTAATGTTACTATGCGAATAGTCAGTGTGCTGGTTGTATTCGCATACTAGTAGTACCAGTATCACTTACTGACTAGTATCTTTTCGTAATCCCCACTTTGTAACGGGACGATACCCTTAACGATCAGACAACATACCGATGTATATATAACATGTCATTCATTCGTCTTTTTTGTACAGTCTCGGCCAATCTATGTTCGTTCAGCAATCAAAACGCCATGTAAACCCATCTAGTATCTTTCCGGGCACGAAAAAAGGATTTCCCAATGCATGACCGCAAAGAGACAGCACGTCTAGCTATCAATTTCGCGAAATGGATGCCAACCGAAAGAATAAACAAAATGAGTCCCAAGCAAATGACTCGCGCGCAATCTACGATTCAATCTTATCCACCCCTGGCCACCATCTACCAACATTCCGAAGCCGGTCGAATAATGCCCTCGGAGTAGAATCTCTCCCGACCATTTCCCCCCTTCAATGCGATGCAACCCGTGAGCCCATGTGGTCAAAGAACATGTCTCCCTTCAGAGTCGAATCCAGCCCTCCAATCGCCGAGTCAACCATACGTGAAGACATGCTGTCCGGTGTGAGCTCCTCATCCTCTACCGATGTGTTGAGTTCTGTGTTGATTCGGAGGTCCTTGGGTGCTTTCTGAGGAGGGATGTGCGACGGCTGGAGTTTTCCGACACCCACTGGGGCAGGAACGTATGTCCTGGGTCTGTAGACAAGAGGCGGACCCTGAGTACGTGCATCTGTGCCAGATTGTTCGATTGATTCAAAATAGCGGACAGTCTTAACCTTCAGCTCCAGAGTTGCATCTCGGTCGCAGACAATCAGCGCATATGGATGTAGCTGCAGCGCCGAGAGTGTCCACATGTGGTTGATGCCGCCTTCCAGGCCTTTCTCCACAGCAAGAGCCTTGTGAGCACCGGTAGCCACGATGACAACTTCGCGAGCATCCATGATAGTCTGGATACCCACGGTAAGTGACCTCCGCGGCACCAAGTCCAAGTCATTGCCAAAGAACCGCGAGTTAGCCAAGATTGTGTCATAGGCTAGGGTCTTGACACGAGTACGACTGCTCAAAGAGGAGCCTGGTTCGTTGAAAGCGATATGCCCGTCTGGACCCACACCACCCAGGAAGAGCTCAATACCGCCATAGCGAGCAATTCGCGCCTCAAAGGACGCACACTCAGCCGCGAGATCGGGTGCGTTGCCGTCGAGGATATTGATGTTCTGGGGCGGAATATCCACGTGGGAGAAGAAGTGTTTGTACATAAAGCTGTGGTAGGACTCCGGATGGTCACGAGGCAGTCCAACGTATTCGTCCTACTTTGGTTTAGCAAATTAAACCCTGTTTGAATAAGGGGCTCCGAAGTCTTACCATATTGAACGTTACGACATTTTTGAACGAGATATCACCGTCCCTGTGCCGGCGCACCAGAGTTTTATAGATTATCTCAGGGCTACTACCAGTCGGGAGCCCCAGCACAAAGGGGCGGTCTTCACTGGGCTTGAATGACTTTATGCGACCTAGAACAACACTATTAGCAAGTGGACGGATATAGCAGAGATATTAAATGTTTTGTAGAAGCATGAAGAATACGAGGAAAACACGATGGGTCTCTGGAAGACATACTGATGATGTAATCTGCAATGTATTCTGAAGCTTCAAGGCTAGTCTCCCTAATAATTACTCTCCTAAAGAAGGACATTAGTTTTAATCAATGTAGAAAAGGCGCTTATCGGGGACGGAATGTCATACATGATGGAAGAAATCCGAAGGAAGATGGGAATACTACTACGTCACTGATAAGGACGGAGGGGCGATAACAATGAGGGGTGTCACAAAAGCGAGGACAAAGAAATGGAATGTAAAATGGGCAATAGATGTGTGATGAGAATATATGAATGAGGATGAAGAAGGTCAAAGGTAAGAAGATGAGAAGAAGGAGAAGGAGGACTGAAATGGGAGAGGTGGTAGAGAAGTGGTTGGAGGGGAATGGATATTTTCTGAGAGATGCAAAGAGGAAAAGAAGAAGAAGAAGAATGAGGCAGGGTACCGTTGGGAGGTTAATAATGATTGTTAGACCGGCAACTCCATCCCAACCATGGCTCTGTTACAGTACAAGTTCCCATTCTATCCGGTAGGTCTGGATCGATCGACCATGTGGAGTGTGACAGAATGATACATGGACTTGCTGGACCTTCCCTCAGACCGTGTCATAGTCGGGTACTACTCCTACTAGTACTACTAGTAGTAGACTTTCAAAGTGAGATCTACATCGAGTCAACGCCGAGATCACCATAAAGGTAGATGATGACGACGACCTCGCCGCTATGATACACCCAAAGAGTACATTTTGAGTGAGGGAAAGGGTTTGTCTTTACTCATGAAATTGCGTGGGCCGAAAATTGTTCACCCCAGTGTATATTCCCAGGTATCAGGTTGGTAGGCAAGTAGCTGTCCGATGACGCAGCACTTTCCAGTACTGGTAATTTCATCATTTTATCTTATTTTATCGATATGTAATTAGTAGTACTTACTTACTATGACTCCTATGAGGCTGCCAATCAGAGTACTGCATTAGCATCAAGGCAGCTGCAAAAGAACCTGAACGGGTTAGCCGAGAGACAGGGAGGTAAAAAAAAAATAAAAATAAAAAGGAAATGAGAAAGGCGATTGTCACCGAATGGTATCATCAGCAGCAGCAACGTGATGTTGCAGAAGGGGGTGGCATGGGGCGAATCGGCTTGAGTAGATGCTCAAAGAAGCTTGCCAAGGAGGACATCCCCGAGGCAGGTGACCGTGGTGTGGCATATCTACTACTAGTAGTTAACTATCATGTTGATGATAACACTGATAAAGCGTTGAAGGGAGGGGGCGCCTAATCTGACGGGGCAGCGTCCCAGTGCTTCCGTTCCATTCAATTGGTTCAGAAGACTGTTGGCGGGCGTTGCCGTTGCATTCGGC